GTGCACGTGCTCAAGATTTGGAGGCATTACTTATATGGCGTGTCTTGTGAGGTATATATAGATCATCGGAGTCTCCAGCATCTGTTTAAAATGAAAGATTTGAATTTGAGGCAGCAGAGAGGGTTGGAGTTGTTGGAGGATTATGATACCACCATTCTTTATCATCCGAGGAAAGCCAATGTAGTTGCAGATGCCTTGGGTAGGAAGGCAGCGAGTATGGGGAGCCTAGCTTTTATTCCAGTTGGGAAGAAGCCTTTAGCTATGGATGTTCAGGTGTTGGCCAACAAGTTGGTGAGATTGGATATTTCGGAGCCGAGCAGAGTCCTTGCTTATGTTTTATCTCGATTATCTTTGTTTGAGTGAATTAAAGCTCGCCAGTATGATGATCCCCACTTGATTGTCCTTAAGGACAAGGTGCAGCATATTGATTCTAAGGAGGTGACCATCGGTGATGATGGTGTGTTGCGACTTCAGGGTCAAGTTTGTGTTCCTAATGTCAAAGGCTTGAGGGAGTTGATTCTTTAGAAAACTCGTAGTTCGCGATATTCCATTCATCCAGGTGCTATGAAGGTGTATCGCAACTTAAAGCAGCATTATTAGTGGGAGGAGGATGATGGACATTGTTAGGCATATTTTTAGGTGTTTGAATTGCCAACAGGCCAAGTATGAGGATCAGAAACCTGGTGGTTTCCTTCAGAAGATTGATATACTGGAGTTGGAGTGAAAGCACATTACCATGGACTTTGTGGTAGGATTTTCACGGACCTTGATCAAGTCGGCGCATTTCATTTCGTTCATGACTTCCTACACTTCGGATCAATTGGCTAGGATCTATATCAGGGAGATTGTTTGCATGTACCTGTTTCGATCATCTTAGACCGATTTACTCTGTTTACTTCATACTTTTGGAGGGCGATCCAACGTGAGTTGAGCATGCAGGTTGAAAGCCTGTTTGGCCAAGTTTCTTGGAGATCAAAAGCACTTTTTTGCTCAAAAAAGTACTTCTTGAAAATATTGAGATTTTTGGCCAAGATAAAAGAAGCTTTTGAGCAGCAGCAGAAGCAGTTTTTTAGCTTTTATGAAAAAGCTATGAATTTTAGATTCTTCTAAGAAGCAGAAGCAGAAAATCAATTTATTCAAGACAAAAATATCCTTTCAATAAATTTATATTTTTTAAATTATCCAATTAATTTAAATTTTTTCGTTTCCTTGTTTTTTCTACCATACCTTTCTTCTCTTTTTTATTTTCATCATTTTTTGTTCTCTTTCTCCTATTCCTCTTTGGAATATTCTCTCTATTATAAATAGATCTCTTTTTTTAAATAGTGATTTATATGAGTAGATTTTCAATTTTTATTGAATGATGTATTTTGACATATTTATATCATTATGTAAATATAAATGATAAGTAATACCATGTAGCCAATATTATTTCTTTATAGCTATATTTATATTAATTGAATTTTTAGTTTATATTGTTACTTTATGTTTTATATTTTAGTTGAATTTCTTTATAATAAATATTTAAATTCATACCTATTTTAAATAATACTAATTACAACCTGAATCTTTAATGTCCTTTTTTGTAATTTGATATTCAAAAGTACTTTTTTGGAAAGATTGGCCAAACATAATTTGCTTACAAAATGCATTACTCAAATGAATTGGCCAAACACAAACTGCTACTTTGTAAGAGTACTTCTTCGAAAAGCACTTTTGAACAAAAGTACTTTTTAAAAATAAATAGTTTTTGGCAGCTTCACCAAATGGGCTCTGAGTGGACCGACAATCTGAGTGGACCATTCAGATCTTGGAGGATATGTTTAGGGCATGCGCTATTGATTTCGGAGACCAGTGGGACCAATTTCTACCTCTAGCGGAGTTCGCCCACAACAACGGCTATCAGTCTAGTATCCAGATAGCTCCATATGAGGTATTAAATGAGAGGCGATGTCGTTCTCCGATTGGATGGTTCGAGCCCGAAGAGGCTAGGTTATTGGGCATATACTTGGTTCATGATGCTTTGAAGAAGGTGAAGTTGATTCAGGAAAGGTTTCGCACAGCTCAGTCCAGACAGAAGAGTTATGCAGATTAAAAGATTCGTGAAGTGGTTTTCATAGAGGGAGAGAAGGTTCTTCTTAGAGTTTCACCCATGGAGGGTATGATGAAGTTCAGGAATAAGGGCATGTTGAGCCCGAGGTTGATTGGACCTTTTGAGTTGCTGGAGAGAGTTGGCGAAGGTTCTTATAGACTTGCTTTGCCTCCTAGTGTTTTGAGAGTTCATATGGTATTCCATGTTTCTATGCTTCCGAGATATAATGAATATAATTCCTATGTTTTGGACTTCAGCACAATACAGTTAGATGGAAATCTGGCTTATGAGGAGGAGCCGGCAGCCATTTTGGATCGACAGGTTCGGAAGGGTCTAAAGATATTACATCAGTGAAGGTGCAGTGGAGAGGTCAATTAGTCGAGGAGGAGCAGTGGAAGACCGAGCATGATACGTGGAGAAGATATCCTTATCTTTTTGGCACTTAAAGTATGACTATAAACTCGTTCGAGGATAAAATTTTATTTAGGAGAGGAAGAATGTAACGACTCGGCCGGTCGTTTTGTGAATTTGAGCATTGTTTATCCATTTGATGATTTTCGCATGATTAGTTGTTGTTTTGTAACTTGGGGAGGGGGGATGGTTGTTGGTTACGAGAAGGCTTCAGAGTGAATTGGAACACTTAGTTCCATTGTTAGAAGCTTAAGTTATGGAAGTTGACCAAGGTTTGACTTTTGTGTTAACGGTCTCAGATTCGTGTTTTGATGGTTCCAATAGGTTTGTATGATGATTTTGCACTTAGGCGTATGCCCGTATTTAGATCTGGAGGTTCCTAGGATGATTTGGCTCTTTTACCGAAGGTTGGCAATTTGAAGGTTTAGAAATTTCATAAGTTTGACCATGGGTTGACTTTAAGACTATAGGATTTGGATTGTTGTTCCGGGATATGGAATAGGTTCATTTTATCATTTCGAACATGTGTGTAAAAATTGGTCTCATTCGAGTTGATTTGGTAGGAATCGGACGCGTGTTTGTGAATATTAAAGTTCTTGAGTCTCAAGGCTTGCATGATGCATTTTGGTATTTAATTCGTGATATCGGATGTTATTTTGATATTCTGATCTTGCGAGTGAGTTCGTATGAGATTTATATACTTGTGTGGATGTTTGGTGTGGTACCCAAGGAGCAGATTGATTTCGGACTAGTTTGGTGAAGCTTCAGTTTTGATGGTGCCTCAAACCTAGCATTTGCGTTGTTGGGGCAGTAAATGCCATCTTTGCATTTGCAAATCCGCAATTGCAAAGGGGTCCGCATTTGCGACACTTGGTCACATTTGGGATCTTCATTGTCGCAGTTGCAATATCACAAGCGGAGGGATTCAATTTGCTTTTGCGAGCCATTTATCACATTTGCAAGGCTCATAATTGTGAACCCCCGGTTGCAATTGCGATCTCCGCAACTTAACATTTAGAAGGGATTTCGGGACTTGGACCCATTTTGTCATATTTTGAGCCCTAGACTTAGAGAGGACCGATTTTTGAAGAGGATTTTCACACAAGACAATTAGGTAAATAATTTTTACTTGATTTTGATATTATATCTTGATTTTCTATGTATTTTTACACCTAAATCATGGAATTTGGAAAGATTTTAGGGGGGTTTTGACTATATTTTGAGAAATAAAAATTGGGAATTTGAGGGTCGATTTGGACTTGATTTCGGAATCTAATCATATATTTAGACTTGTGTGGTTATGGGTAGTTGGGATCTACCCTTTGACTTAGGTTTTGACTGTGTGGGCATGGGGTTGACTTTTTGTTAACTTTGGGGATTGGGCAAAGATTGGACGTTATTGATTGGAATTCATTCCTATAGCATTGTTTGATGTTATTGAGTTATTTTGGCTAGATTTGAGTCGGGCGGAGGTATTTTTTAGAGGAAAGGTTATATTAGAGGATTGATTTGTGCTTATTAGGGTAAGTATCTTGCATAACCTTGTGTGAACGAAAACTCCTTAGGATTTGGTCTTATTTGTCTTTTTGTGTTAAGTGAAAAGTAATGTGTACGTGATGTGGTTTATGACTGGATTGACCTAAGGCTATTAATATGCCTTAATTTGATTATATGCTTTATATAAACATGCTTAATCACTTTGTGACTACACGAACTTGATTTCTACAATTGATTTAGCCGTACTCATGCTTTACATGTTCAACACACATCCACATTTTTTTATTATTGTCATGTCCTTGTGCATCTTGTTGACAAAATTATGGGCTCATATCTTTGATGGAAATTTGGCATATTGCTTTGTGTTGATTATGACACATAGGGACATATTGAGCGGATTGATTGGGTGATGGCACGAGGTCTTTGTCGTGTGATTGTGATTATTGTTATGCACATTTGGCGAATCAAGGGTGGCATTCTCGAGTTTGCACAGGTGGCGATCTTGATCATGCGCATGTGGCAAAATAAGGATGATATTTCTTGATCATGCGCATGTGGCAAAATAAGGATGTCATTCTTGATGATGTTTAAGTGATGGTTTGAGGGTGATTTTCTTGATGATATCCATGTGACGTGATATTTTTATTTAACAAGTTGCTACTCCATGGTTAATTTGCAGGATATATGCAAGAATGTAAGAAATCACCAAGAAGCCTAGCAGCCATTTCAAAAAGAAATTAAATTAAATATGAGGCAAATTGAAGAAGAAACAAAATTTAGCGGGGCGGGTGGACGGGTATAAATTCAGGGAAGGGCAGGTTGAAAATTTGTGGGAAGGCAGAATCTTGCACCGCCCACACCACTTGCCATCCCTACAATACTAACCATAATTAAAAGTAGTAAGGATTGAACCACAATAAGTTCGTCAGCAAGGCTTATTCATGTGACACTGAGCACCGGGATGAGGGGTTGTTTGTAAATGGTGGCAGTACCAACTCAATTAGCCATAATGACTTCTTTTAGTCGATCGAATAGAACAAACGTATTGTAACATATTTTATATGACATCACAGACAAGCAAAGTACACAGAACAAATTTTATATGAAAGACAACAGAGATGAGAATCTTGATCCTCAGCACATTTCCACAGCTTGCTGGAGTTTGCACTGTGTGACCATCACAACCAAGCAACACACAATCACTTGCAACGACACCACCTGCAAATGGTAAAACTTTCTCTACCACCATGCAACTTATCTTGGCTATGGTGAGATGAGTTTGTGTAGTATGGATTGACGTTACACTAACCACTTCCTAGTCCCGCTAACCCAAAAACAGAAACAGATCTGTAAAGAATTAATAACACATTTCCAGTGACTGTTTCTAACTCAAATTTTGAGGTACAGACAGTTTCAGGTTCAGCATGCACAAAACCGAGAAAAGGCTGTAATTGACCAAGTGTGTGCAGAGATAGAACTCATTAACTTGCAGTTGTATTTTGCACATTGCTTGTGTGGGAGAAAGAGTCAAGCCCCCTTGTTGCTATTCCATGGCTTGAGCACGCCAACAACGATGACTGCAACGATTATCAGAAGGATGATGATGGCGATGCACATCCATTTTCTTGAGTTCCTTTGTAGTGACTTTGCCTTTTGTAGAGCAGTATTCCCTGATTGCACATGGTCTACTGCAGCTGAAACCTGAAATTTGGATTCTCAAGCAATGAGGAAAGAAAACATAAACATAGGGTAGGATTCATACAAGAATAATGCATTTTAATTGGATTGTCAAGCAATGAGGAAAGAAAACATAAACATAGGGTAGGATTCATACAAGAATAATGCATTTTAATTGGATTGTCAAGCAATGAGGAAAAAAAAATAAAAAGACAGAAGATTTAAGATATGCAAAAGAAGAAAGAGTAGGTACCAGGGTGAGGGTCATACTAGGTAATGAATTTCAATTGGAATGTCAAGCAATGAGGAAATGAAACAAAAAGATAGAGAAAATATAAAATGCAAGAGAAAAAAGAAAAAAGAAAAAAAGGATCTGTATCAGAGTAGTCATACAAGATAATGAATTTCAGTACCTGTGATTCTATATTGTCAAGCATGTCCCCTTGAGCATCAACCAACACTGCCATATCCAAGAATATCTGCATTAAAGAAAACAATGAATTTCAAACCGGATATCACTGCCTGTTTTTCCTCTTTTCTATCAGGCCATAATGGCATCATCACTTCCAACAATGCCTGTCACCTTCCAGATAACTATGGAACTCCTTCACTTCAATGATTTTATATCATTGGGAGTGAATAAACAATGACGTTATACTGAACACAGATGATATCGGAAACATATGGTAGGAGGGACCATGTTAAGCACTCTGAACTCATGTTTAGTCCACAGTTAGATGATATAAAATTAAATATGTTGAATTTTGTGACCATCTCTTCTAAAAGCTTAAGCTGTTAGAGAGGGTACATTTTTATTTAATTAATTATATTCTTAGCATGTGCCCTTTACGTGAAGGCTTGATTCTTTTTAAAGTTAAGCAATGTGGTCCTTTCAATAATGCGTTGCGCTGAGACTTGAAACCAGGACCTCAGTTTTCTCTAATACACGTTGAATTGTGTAACCATCTCATCCAAAAACTTAAGCTGTTAGAGAAGGTATACCATTTATTACTTAATTATATTTTCAACAGAATTGAACAAAAATAATTCTAATTTTTCATCTACTTTCCTGTGTTCCTTGTCCCTTCTCTTTCCCCCCTTTCTTGACAATGAGGGATTTTCGAGCAAATTTTGCTGTTATTCTGTCCCTCGTCATAGGGACACTTGTCATACCTGTTGCAACTCAAGAAGCTTCCTCTCTAGCTCTCTGACTGCATCATGACGCTCTTGAATTTCTGCTAGGGTATCCATTATCTGCAAAACAGTAACATTGACAAGTGGCACATTAGCGTCGTAGTTGGTGAAACTAAACTGCTAGATAACAGAGCAAGAGGGATAAAGGCTACAGTTTGCATAACTTCATTCCAATGAAATAATGAAGAGGGAAAAATAAAAATTTGTCCAGCAAGGAAGAGCAACTGCTTATCGTTACAATTGATTATATATGAAGACCGGTGGCCAAAATATGACATATTACCAAAATAATGCTATGTTTTGAAGCCTCACCGATGACCAACCAAATAACTCCCTCCCACTGCTATCTGATGTTTACTTCTGCATGCAGTTGTAACTAATTGCCTACCTCTCTAACCCCTACATCTTTTGACCCAGCAACAGTTTTACATATATGTAGCAGAAAATGTGGTTCGATTACGATGTATTACTTTACTGTTTTTGATCAGTAATCTGCTGCTATACTACTTCAAGCACATGACACTGGTCTGGCAATAGCAGCCTGAGGGTTAAAGAGACCTTAGTCAACTAGGCAAATTATCCTGCTTAGAAATTTTGTGAAAGGGTTGACAGTATAAGATGCTACAGCAGTGTGGAAATCACTCCTTGTTTCTTATTCTACCCAAGTCAAATCATCCCTCCTATTTTTAAGGTTTTTGAATGAGTCTATTCCTTTATGATGGTTCCAACAAGTGAGAAAGAAAAAAATAATTTTCTTTTCTTTTGTTTTCACAGGGAGAGTACAGCATAGCATCCGAGAGAAAGGAAAATATAAATGGAATTGAAACAACAATAACAATAAACTTAGTGTAATCCCACAAGTGGGGTCTGGGGAGGGTAGTGTGTACCTTGCGAAGGTAAAGAGGTTTCTGATAGACCCTTGGATCAAGGATTGAAGAAAATAAGCAGTAACAACAAATAGTAACAACATTAAGATAAGATGATAAGATGATCGAAGCGAAAGAAACAGAAATCTAAGAATAAGAAAATATGAAAATACTACTAATACTACTGGTATGGGACATAGAAATGTTTGACTACCTACTAATCTTCTACTCTAATTCTCGACCTCCATGTCCTCCTATCATGTCCTTGGTATGCTGCAGTAGCGTCATGTCCTTCTTAATCACCTCCCCCAATACTTTTTTGGCCTACCTCTACCTCTACCTCTCCTCAAGCCCACCATAGTTATCCTCTCATACCTGCTCATTGGGGCATATGTGTGCCTCCTCACATGCCCGTACCATCTCAAGCTAGCTTCCCGCATCTTGTCCACCACAGAGGCCACTCCCACCTTAATCTATTATCTCCTAGGATGCCCACATGTCCATCTCAGCATCCTCATTTCTGCTACTCGCATCTTCTGGACATGGGAGTTCTTTACTGGCCAACACTCCACCCCATACAACATAGTCGGTCTAACCACCACTCTATAGAACTTACCTTTAAATCTTGATGGCACATTCTCGTCACACAAAACACCAAATGCGAACCTCCATTTCATCCACCCCGCACCAATATGATGTGTGACATCATCGTCAATCTCCTTATTACCTTGGATTACCGACCCCGGGTGCTTAAAACTTCCTCTCATAGGGATGACTTGCGTAACAAGGGGTGTGAGAGTTATATGTACGGATACAGATACGAAGGTAAGAAATTATTTTATTTGAATTATTTGATGGTGAGAAAATATTACGGCTGCTTAACAGAGGGGCAAGAGGCTTCCCCTGGGAAGTTATTGATTCCATTACCGAACCAAAAAAAAATTATTCCCCAATCCTATCTTACCAATCAGCTCAATCTTTTTTCCTTCTTGCTAAAACTGTGAAACTATTCCTGTATCAATAAACTGCTGACATGGTAAGAATTGGTGGGAGGGGAGAGAGAAAGCATCAGGGCCCTCAAGGATGTTACTCATGAAAACCTACTTAAATATCCGATTATATGTAAATGAACAGAACTCAAACAGCAGTAGATGGTATAGGGAGGTCCTAATTGACCATAACCCAGGAAATTCAAACAGAAACCTAGAGTGGTCAACTTTACAAGCATAACCACCATATGCCCCAATCCATTTAGAAAACGCTAGTTAAAGCATGATATCTTGAACCTTCGTCATATGTGAATTAACACTAGGACACCACTGTGAAGCTACTGACGAAGAGGATAGTATAAACAGCTGAGCAGGTTCATACCTGTCCTCGCCCTTGTTCTCGAATAGCTTTCTGGAATATCTGCTCACTGTCCCCAGTCTCTATCAACCGATCAATTGTCTGCGTGAAGTGGAAAATAAAGGGGGAAAATTAGATGTGCACAAAAAGCATTACTAGCATTTTCAAGAATTCAAAAGTACTACATAGCTTCACCTCTTCATCAGCTCGATTGCCCGTCACTGTCATACACACCAAAAGCAAATAGTTACAATTATGAAAATCCTTACGTAACTGATACAGAAATTCAAATCTAGGAGTTCTTAACACCTGTGTATACACGCCTTTCAACAACCTCACGATATTCTTGGTGGATGTTCTCTCGTAATGTCTGTAAGCATATTTTATCAGCAAAATTGAAAAGCAAGCAAACCCCAGAAGAGAGAGCCATTTCTAATGCAGCTGACATACCTGAAACTCGGACATTTTATCTTTGAACTTTTTTTTCAATGAACTGCAATCAAAGATAACAGGCCGAGTTCACTCATTGACCATATGTGTAATAGGCGAATAACTGAGAATCTGAATTGTTGGAACAGAAGGGAAGCATGATAAAAGGCATAATTACTCTGCTTCATTTTTTCTGACACATTAAGCACTATGACAAACTGTAAGATACTGATTTCTGTGTTTTAAGAACTCACATTTGCTTCTTCTCAAAAAAAAAAAAAAGAACTCACATTTGCTTCTTTACGAGCATATAAATTGGTCATTACTTTTGTAGTTTGAGTCAAAAGGTGATGTTCGTGTAAGTCAGATATGCACTCTTGACAAGGCAAAAGCCAACCTGCGAATATGTTGCTAAGAAGAAGCAAAGAAAGAACATTTGATTGTGTATTGGTAATAGAGCAATTAGACTTTTAAGTAGTATGCGATAACTGTACTTCAAAGAGAAAAAGAGCATAGCATGCAGTTTTACCGACAAATGCATGGCAACAATCTAATTCTATCCTCAAACTTATCCACTGTCTGACCCAATACATAGTTTTATGCCAGCAGACATTATTTCATCCATTTAAATAAGTTATTCAGAGATACCCACCCAAGAATGTCAAAATAACACCAAGGTGTGACCATATCAGAAAAGAAACAACTATTGAGTAGACAAAGGATATGTAAGGACTCAAAATTACACTGTTGTTGCCGTTCTTGATCTGTCAACAGCTGATCCTTTACCACATCCTGGTTTGCTTCTATTGGCCAGATTCTACAATGTAAGAAAATAGATCATAGCCATAAGAAAACACAAAAGTATTAGAACCGAGAGATGAAAGAATTTTTCTTTTGGGATAAGGCGAGACGAAAGCATCTAATCTTACTAACTTCTTTGTCAAGTTCCTCAATCTTTAATTTGATGAATCGAGCTACTTTGCTAACTTCATCAACATCTTTTTCCATTCGCTGCTTAATTGCTGCATATACAATCTCATCACTTAGGAATGCCTACTTAAAAATAATTATAAACACGTTTTGAACATGAGTAAGAGAAGACATATACAATCCCATCACTTAGGAATGCCTACTTAAAAATAATTATTTACATGTTTTATACATGAGTAAGAGAAGACATATACAATCCCATCACTTAGGAATGCCTACTTAAAAATAATTATTTACATGTTTTATACATGAGTAAGAGAAGCAAACAAAGACGATTTTTCCAAACAAATAGAAAAAGTAGACGTAAGAAAAAAGTGCTTTTAAGCTGGTTTGACCAACTTTTAAGCCAATCCAAACACCCCCTCAGTGCAACTTATTCCTCCTCCATTTGCTGCTCCTTATTTGTTATAACTTAAAAGATCTTTCAACACAAAATAGAACCTATATCTTTCAATAATTAGGACAAAGCACTACTCTCGTTGATCGCTTGTGTAAATAGATTAGACTTGACATGTCATATATAAAAGTGTATATAATTGTTCCCCCATCGAAAAATGTAATAAAAGTGCATAGTGGAGCGTGAACATACGAAACGTAAGACATCTACCTTCAGGCAATCTCTCGATTCTTTCTCCAGTATCTCTTATTCCTCACAAGGTATCAGAGCTAAGTGATAAATTAATCATTGTGCATTAATTAGTGACCTCTAAGAGAAAAAATAGTGTCACTGTGTAATTGTTGACAGCCGTGAAAGTTATCCCAGGTGTCTTTGTCTTTGTGCATATTAAGCATAACACTATCACAAAAATTGGGCCCTTCTTACAAGCACAATATGAGAAGCCACACAGCAACTAGAGATAAGTGTGGCATCACGTTGTCTTAATTCCCAAGTTCCGGCAACGAGGTTCTTTCCAGTTTTCTAGCTTATTAGTGGTCGAATAATGCCTCCAATTTCACCCCATACAAGATTTGGCAGACTCTAGGACCAGAACCATAGCCCCAAATAGGAAGTTTAGTTCTTCTATGAAAAATGCTATGCTTTGTCAATAACTTAACCCCTAGGAAAAATAATTCAACCCATTAGTTCTCCTGTCCACAAGAACCATACTATCTGTCAGTGTTGTGCAAAAACCAAACACCAGGAAGTAGATCAGAGCTCGGCGACCAAGCCTCAAAAAATTCTCCGGCGGAAACGGACCCACGCGCTCTCAAGCGCCGCCGGAAGAATTTTTTTGGCGAAGTTCCGACGTCCACGAGTTAGCGCGTGAGGCTATTTTCGGCCAAATTTTGGGAAAATTTCTTCAGAACAGTCTCTTCTCCTCGCAAATTCGAGCCTACCCATCCAATTAAAATCAAATTCCGACCACTTTTATATTTTTCCGGCTTGAAGAGTGAGTTTTCCGGTGAGAATAGTAATTCCCAGAAAATTTCTGCTTTTTCCGGCGCAATAGTATAATGGCATTCGTATTAGAAGCCTTTAACTCACAATCCGTTGGATCCAATGCATTGCATCCAATCCAGATGGTTTTTTTATCGGATTATATTAAGTTCCTTCAGTACAAAGTATGTAAACAGACATTTTCAGGGATAGCTTCCGTTGTTCAAACAGATAGTTGCTTGACTTGTGTCTCTCAATCTTCAACCTCTGAGTCTTGAGTCATTGATTCAGGTGCATCTCATCATATTTCTGGTAACAAATCTCTTTTCACTACTATTTCATGTTCTCAATCTCTCCCAACAGTCACAATGGCCAACGAGTCTCAAATCATGGCAACTGGAATAGGTCAAGCAAGCCCACTTCCTTCCTTACCTTTAGATTCAGTTCTTTATGTTCCCCGTAGTCTTTTTAATCTCATAGTCATTAGTCGCTTAGCCAAATCACTTAAATGTTCTGTTTTATTTCTTGATGACTTTGTTTTTATACAAAAACGTAGTACAGGGCGAATCATTGGTACCGGGCGTGAATCATATGGACTTTATTACATTATCCTTATAAAATCACATGGACTCACATCTTGTCTTCCTTCAACTTGTCCTGTTACCGATTCACCAGATTTATTACATAAACGGTTGGTTGGGACATCCCAGTTTGTCAAAACATCAAAAAATGGTACCTGGTTTATCTCACTTGTCCACTAGAGCGTGAGTCATGTCAGCTCGGTAAGCATACCCGCTTCCATTTCCTTCGGCGTCTTGATAATCGAGCAGAGTCACATTTTACTTTAGTCCATTCAGATGTTTGGGGTCCTAATCGGGTCAGTTCTACTTTAGAATTCTGCTACTTTGTCAGTTTCATTGATGATTATTCCAGGTGCACTTGTATATTTTTGATGAAAAATCGATCTGAGTTGTTTTCTATTTTCCAGACCTTCCACGCTGAAATTCAAAATCAATTTGAGGTATATATCTGCACATTTCGTAGTGATAATGCCCTAGAGTATTTGTCTTCCCCATTTCAGCAGTTTATGAACTCTCATAGGATTATTCATCAAACATCTTGTCCGTACACATCTCAATAAAATGGGGAAGCTGAAAGAAAGAATAGACATCTTATTGAAATTGCTCGTACCCTACTCATACAATCTCATATTCTATTGCATTTTTGGGGGATGCAGTTCTTACATCTTGCTATCTTATTAATCGTATGTCATCTTCAGCTATCCAAAATTAAGTTTCATTCTCTATCATGTTTCCCCACTTACCTTTGTTCTCTTTTCCACCCAGTGTCTTTGGAAGCACGTGTTTTGTTCATAACCTTACTCCAGAAAAAGATAAGTTAGCTCTTCGTGCTCTTAAGTGCGTAATCCTGGGTTACTCGAGAACGCAAAAGAGGTATCGATGCTATTCTCCTAACCTCAACCGGTATCTTATGTCCACTGATGTTACCTTCTTTGAAACCCAATCATACTTCACAGGCCCAGGTAATCACTTAGATATTTCTGAGGTGCTACCAGTTTCATCTTTTGGAGATTCAGTCACTATCTCCCATTCATCTTCCTCTACAACTCCAGCTCCACCACCTATAGCTCCAGTTCTACCACTTATATACCTAGTCCAGTTTAACCATCTGCAACTCCACCACTCTTGACTTATCATCACCGTCCACGTTCAACATCAGGCCCAAGTGATTCACGTCCTGCATCAGATTCTGCACCTACTGCGGACTTGTCTCCTCTCAGTCAACCAATTGCACTCCGCAAAGGTGTACGATCCACTCTTAATCCTAATCTTCATTATGTCATTTTAAGTTATTATCGTCTGTCATCACCTCATTATGCTTTTATATCATCTTTGTCCACTGTTTCTATCCCTAAGTCTACAGGTGAGGCACTATTTCATCCAAGATGGAGACAAACTACGATTGACGAGATGTCTGCTGTACATGCGAGTGGCACTTGGGAGCTTGTTCCCCTTCCTTCAGGTAAGTCTGTTGTTGGTTGTCGTTGGGTTTATGCAGTCAAAGTCGGCCCGGATGGCCAGGTTGATCAGCTTAAGGCTCGTCTTGTTGAAAAAGGATACACTCAGATTTTTGGGCTTGATTATAGTGACACTTACTCTCCTGTGGCTAAAGTAGCATATGTTCGTCTCTTTTTGTCCATAGTTGTTGTACGTCATTGGCCTCTTTATCAGTTAGACATTAAGAATGTTTTTCTCCACGGTGATCTTGAGGAAGAAGTTTATATGGAGCAACCACCTGGCTTTGTTGCTCAGGGGGGTCTAGTGGTCTTGTATGCCGATTGCGCAGGTCACTATATGGTTTGAAACAGTCCCCTCGAGCTTGGTTTGGTAAGTTAAGCACTATTATTCGGGATTTCGGCATGACTCGTAGTGAAGCTAATCACTTTGTGTTTTATCGGCATTCTGCTCTTAATCTGTGTATTTATCTGGTGGTTTATGTTGATGATATTGTTATTACTGGTAATGATCAGTGTGGTATTACTAATCTGAAGCAGCATCTCTTTCAGCACTTCCAGACTAAGGATCTGGGCAGATT